CACCCCACCCCGGCCGCCACTCGCAGGGCCGGAGACTGGAGTCCCCGCCCCGCGCCCAGTTCTGGACGCGGCGAGAGAGTTTCCCTCCCTTCTCAAAGCACCCGAAATGAGAGATGAGGCTCTGTCGGACTGTTCTTTTTGACGGACTTTAGAACAAGAGTCTCTCCTCTCTTGTCCCGGCCCTTGGGGAAACTGAGGCAAAGTGCAAGCAGATGCTCCTTTAGCTCTCAAAGCCCTGACTTTTGTTCCTTCCCAAATCCCAGGCTTAACGACGGAAGCTCAGGAAACTGGGGTGGTTTGAACCGGAGTTGGGGTAGGAAAGGAAGAATTGTAGGGCAGGTCCACCTCTCTGCCCCGCGGTCGTCTGGTCTGCAGCCAGGAGGCCAGGGAATGGGGTGGCGCGCCCTGACCTGAAGTCGTGCTCCAGACGCCCCAATCTAGGAGTTCCTGCAGGAGACCTCAAACGCCGATTAAACTGAAGGGGACAGCCCAGGGAAGAGCAAGCAACTCGTATCATTTGCATACTTTCATTACTCTGCTCTGACATGTTTTATTAAATTGTTTTACGTTTTTGAGGAGAACCAAGGAGTCTAGAACAAAGACAAAGAGAGAATATTATTTCTATAAAGGCATGTGCAAGAGAAGAAATTTATGTAAATCTGCTCGAATCTGGTGGAAAAAAATCACCTCGCTGCAGTCTCAGCCTACTTCTCCTTTTCTGGGTTTCTTTCTACCTGAAGAGCTCCCACACAGACACACACACACACTTTCCTAGACTGGAAATGGCTTTGGGGTGTCAAGGGAAAAGGGAGGTCCCATAGTTTTTAATCTGGGGTGGGGCCCTGCTGATTGACGAGTGTCAGAGTTCTGGCTCAGCCGTGGGCTCTGTGATGAGGCAAACTTTGTGAGGTGACTGCTTCTGACACAGAAGGGGGCAGGTGAACAGGTCAAGATCAGAAAGTGCTATGCAGTGTCAAGAGTTGGAGGGTTTTCAGGCCGAGAAAGTGCTCAAGTAAACCTGAGACATTGTGCAGTCTTCCCCCGCCCCCCAGACTGCTTCCTGTGGAGCCTCCAACTAGTGGGTATTTAAGCATCTTTCTATACCTTCATCTCTGGGCAGGACTTCTGAAGGCTGGAAGCACAAGTTGGGGGAGGGCACAGATGCCCCCGTGAAAGGCAGTATTCTGGGAACTGTTTTCAGCACCTCGTCTGCCGTTGCCAGACTAGGACCCTTGCACCTCATAGAAGATTTAAACACGAGCAGACTTTGAGGCTGAGAAGGGCTAGGGTACATGGGACTAGTGACACATCTTCAAAAGCATGAGGGTACTATGACTACGATTTGATGTCTGTTCATTGCTTCAGGAGCAGGAGGTATTCAAGAAAGAGATGGTAAGCGATAGATTTCCTGCCAGAAATCTATCCCTTCAGGAATGACCAACCCAGAAGTGGGTTCCAATCTATATGCCAGTTGGAAGATGTTTCCATTTTTCTCATCTGTCGCCGAGAAACTGAACTACTTGATGTACTCTGATCCTTCAGTTCAAGGTTCCAGGGCTCTTTGCTCTGCCCTCTACTGACCACGGGCACCTGGGTTTCATCACACCAGAGGCTGAACCAGAACAGTAATCCTGTGTCCTGGCACCACGCCCTGCTCTGGGGTGGAGAGGGTTGGAAACCCTCCCACCATGCGGATCCTGCCTGGTCCTAATCCCCTGATTTGCTCCTGGCCAGCCTCTCAGCAAACACAGGGCCCGCTAGCGTCTAGGGGCTTGTCACCCTGTTAGCGGATTTGTTCTTGGAGACGCTGCAGTTAATTGGCCCTTTATGTGGGGATCAGGGCATATTTGCTCAGGGTTCCCTGAGCGGAGGCAGTGGCTCTGCCCGTGGGTAAGGCTGCTTCCTAATCCCTGTCATCTGGGTTGGAGACTGGACAAACAGTGGAGCCATTCGCCTCCTCTCCAGGATTCTCCTGTTCAGAATTTCCTGTCTCTCGTCTACACCTCGCCCCTGTCTCCATACTCTCTCGTTCTCTCCACTTGCTCTTGTTTCTCTTTGCTCTTTCCTTCTTTGTATTTCTCTGTATCTCCAGAATACTCTCCTTTTAAACCAAACTCCGACCTAAATCAAAAGAGAGTGGAGTACTCCATCGGGTGTCTCAGAGAATGAATACCTCCCAACCACAGCACAATTTCTTCCCTTTTCCTCCCCACTCCCCAGAGTCCCCAGAGTCCTAGTCCTGGCAGAGATGGAGCAGAGAGTGGGCAGAGAAGGCCCAACAGAGGTCACACCTCCCAGCTCTTCTGCAGTCTTCTCATCCCTTTTCCTTCTAAGGTCAGACAGGCAGCCTGGAAACTGGCCCTGCACCCTTTCAAGCCCAGTTTCTCTTGGGACTATTCCCATAGGCAGTTCTGGATGAAATTTGCACACTGCCGGACTCTTCACTCCTCCCCCCACCAACAAATTGTCGAGACAACTAACTCTTTGACCTCTACCTCATGCTTAGAACAAGAACGCATCGCAACTAGGTCCATTTCCTACGTGTGTACTACAAATGCTTGTAAGGCACCTAAAACACTAAGCTACTGTTATTGGAGGAGACTTGTCTGGAATCCATCCTGCTGATTTTTTTTTTTTTTTTTTTGAGTTGGAGTCTCACTCTGTCGCCCAGACTGGAGTGCAGTGGCCGCTCCCGG